GATCTTAAATGGCCTTTTATTCAGCTGCCTTGCCTACATCTGTGAACAGCTCCTTGCTCTCGAGTTCTTCCACCAGCTGTACATATCTTTTGGCAGCGCGGCTGCCATTTGCTGTGACAAAGCACTGTTTGGACATAATTTGGTCTCCAAAGACCTTTTCAATTACCCCAGCTTCGTTGAGAAACCGCAATACGTGATGGTAGGTTGAAGCTACCGATCCAATGGTGTGCAACCATGTCCTTCCCAATATTATGTTGTAAGAGGAAGGGACTTTCAATACCCAGAATTCCACTTGTTTTGTCATGGTTCCTGCCTTGACTGGGAGGATTATCTTGCCCACTGGCCACTCTGGCATTGAGTTGAATCCGATCAAGGGAGATATTGCAGGTGCCAAGTCTTTGTCCTCTAGTTTCAATTGTTTGAAGGTTTTGTAATATATTATCTCGCATGAGCTTCCTTAGTCGATCAAAATCCGTTTGATGTTGAAATTCTTGACGCGTAGAGTGACGACCAGTGCATCATTATGAGGGCAGTATATCCTTACTAAGTCTTTGTCCGAAAACGATATGACATTTGTGGGTTCTGTTCTCCTCTTTTTGATGATAGGTTGTGCACTTAGTACCTCCTTTAAGTGCTCAGCCTTTTTGATCATCCCCCTAAGCTCACATACTTGCTCGGGTTCGAATACTTCATGTATTACGTTTATTATGCCTTGAGGTGGAGCGTCGACCGGCATCCCGTTTGGGTTATTGTGGTTCTAGGGGACTAGTTGTGTCCCTCCTTCTATGTATTGGTCCAAGTGCCCAGCTGCCACCAACTCCTGCAAGTGCTGCCTTAATGGTGTGCAATTTTCAGTGTGGTGCCCCTTTTCATCATGGAAGGTGCGCCACGACCTCTCGTTATAGTCTCTTTGCGCTTCTCTCAGTTTAGCAGGCCATCGGACAAAAGGTTCATTGCGAATCTCGCTGAGAATCCGATAGATCGATTTTTTGAACACCGTGGTAATGGCAGTGCGGACTCTCAACCTTCTTTTGTCTTGGTCCTCTCCGTTGTCCCGCCTGCCTCGCCCTTTTCTGCTTGGACGTTCCACCGCGTTGACTTTTGCCGTAGTCTTTTTATTTGGTATTGCGGTTGTGCCAGATTTTGCTTTAGTGCAGTTGCCATCTTCCTCCACGCGAATATGTTGGTGTACTCTCTCCATCAAGGCTTCCATCGTATGGGGTGGCGTCATGGTGATTGAGTCCCTCAACCTGTTTCCGACTGGAAGACCTCTTTTGTATTGTGCGATAGCGAGATTGGTGGGGCAATCCCCAATCTGGTTGAAGGTCTCCCAGTAGCGACTGTTGTAAGATCTTATCGTCTCCTTGTCACCCATGTCAATGGAGAGAAGCTGGTCGATCTCCACTGCCGTTTTGGTGTTTGTTCTGAACCTTGTTACGAACGCCTCCGCCAATTGCGCCCAGGAGGCTATGCTGCATTCTGGAAGTTTTTCGAACCAAGTCAAGCATAGGTCACCAAGGCTTGATGGGAAGAGGATGCACATCAAAGCCTCGTTTCGTCGATACACCGCCATAACCTGGCGGAAGTGGATTAGGTGTATGTAAGGGTCTGTTTTCCCTTCGTACGTGGTAAATTTAGGCTGGATGAAGCCTGAGGGTAATGATGCGTTTTCAATTGCCGGAACGAACGGTGAGGTCTGCAGCCTTGCTAATGCTTTGTCCGTTGGTTCGTAGGCAGGGTGTGGTAACGTCAGTCCGACCTCGATGCTTCCATGCGTCCGAGGAGCCAACCGCTGAAGGGCAGATACCTTGCGAGGGTTGCGTGCCCTAGTATCCTCCTTCCATCGTGCCTTTTCTTCCAGCATGATCTGCAAATCGGATGATCTTGGCAACTCCGTTTGCCTAGATGATGTCTGGTACGAGCGCGAGGGTCGATAGGTACTTCCCTCAGTGTAAGACCTCAATGATTTCGTTCTTTCAGACCTAGAGTAACGAGTTCTGAAGGTTCTGGATTGAGTATCGCCTGTCCTGATGCTTCTACTCTCTGCTTGTGATGGTGTGGAATGCCTTCCACGGTCTTCTGAGCGGCGAGGGGGCGTCTTGCTTTCGCGCCCCCTCCTGTCGCCACTCATTTTCCCTTCTTCTGGCGTTTCATAATCTCCATGTCCGCCGCCATCCGTCGTATTAATTCGTCATGCTCCTTTACACGGTCCTCCAAAACTTGAGGATCAATCCTCCGCCTTTGTTTGTCACGACTTTGTGAATAAGGGTGACGGGGGCTGTTAGTTCGTCTCCTCCCCTTTGCATCCCTCCTGGGATTCTGTCGCTGTGGCTCCAAGTCCGCCATAAGAGGGATAGAGGGCAATCCTTCGCGCCTCCCACCCCCCTCTGGGGTTTGTCCGTCGATGGCGGACTGCGGCAAATCTTCGTTGTGCGCCATTGCTTCTAAAGAGGAAAAGCTTGATCAAGAGGTTTTGTTCTTGTCTGATATTTCCCACAGACGGCGCCAATTGTACGGGTACGAAATATTCTTCCCGTATAATCTTGTTGATCAAGTCTGCGCTCCTCCGTACGTCGTCGCTTTACTCCCTGAAAACACAAACGTGAGCTAGCCGGCGGGTGTGTGCTGGATACCTCTCCGATGCCTAAGTCAGCAAAATAGACAAATAGACAAAAAGCTCTGTGTGTTTGGGAATCAAAGTTGTGTTACCTCCCCATAGATGATGTTATGAGCTTTTATAGGTTCCGCGTGGCACAATCCAAGTAGGACTCTTACTCCTCCATATAGAGTCCTCCTAGGAATCACATTCCTCAAAGATAATGCTTATCCTTCAACACCCCCCTCACTGCTTAAACCAAATGAGATGGTTTTACCACGGTTGGATGTCAATACGACCGAGCTACCATGACCATGCTAAAGCCGCAGACTAGACCGAGCTCCAGCTAGCTTGGTTCTTTCTTTCACTGCGTGTACCTCGGTTTGACATACTCCAACTGTGGTGTTTACTTACTACCGTGCTAACTGTAGTAAACCCCCGACCAAGCTAATGATAGCTAGGTCCACCGCAAGAAGCCCAAATACCTTGGTTCTGAATACCCTGACCGAGATAACTACCTTTACTCCGTCTGGTGACTTTAATCACACTTGGACCGTGGTAACACTTGCCAATCCCTTTTCATACTTGGACCGAGCTAACTATGGCGTGCTAAGACCGCGCTAACCAAAGCGAGGTCCATAATGAGAAGCCATCATACCTTGGCTCCAAATACTACGACCAAGCTAACTATGGCGCGCTACGACCGCGGTGACCGTCATTACACTTGGACCGAGCTAACTATCTCCACTCCGACCGTGGTGACCGTCATTATACTTGGACCGAGCTAACACTTGCGATCCACTTGTTAAGCTCTTCTTACCGCGGCTGATACATTTACCTCGGCTGACACCTTTACCTCGGCTGATATCTTTACCTCGGCTAACATTGCGGTCAACCAAGTTACTTTGGCTCTTCTCTCCGTTTGACTACCTTGCTTGGTAGCTCGGCCATAGCATTGACCGCCACTAGGAAGTAGTTAAGTCCCGTAGCTAGGTCCCGTAGCTAGGTCCAATAACTTGGTCCCGTAGCTAGGTCTTGTAGCTCGGTCTTGTAGCTCGGTCTCGTAGCTAGGTCCTGTAGCTAGGTCCCGTAGCTAGGTCTTGTAGCTCGGTCTTGTAGCTCGGTCTCGTAGCTAGGTCTTGTAGCTAGATCCCGTAGCTAGGTCCTATAAACATCTTTGACCGCCATTCCAACGTAGCTTGCCCCAATTTGGCTACGCAAATTACCCTCTCACATACCAAAGATAAAATTATGTAAAATTGATAAATCTTTTACGTATTTATTTATTTTACCAAATTAATTTATTATGTGTTTGGAGGATGATCATGTATTGTTTTTAGTTTCATTAAATTAGTTTCTATTTTTTTAAAAATCAAACATGACAACAAGTTTAATATCATTATTAAACCAATCCATTAAATCAAAAAATATAAAACTAAAAACATTTGATATATCAGTTACACATTAAAAGCCTAATAACTACCCATTACATGATCATCATCTAAATACATAATAAAAATTAATTTGTAAAATAAATAAATAAATGTGTAAAAGATTTATCAATTTTATATAAATTTATTTTTTGTGGGTAGAATTAATTTTTAAAAATTTAAAAATATTTTTTTGACATATATTTTTGTCAAATTAGTTATATTTTATCAAATTGACAATTTTATCCTTAAAATTGATCAATTGATTAAATGTGTCATAATTAAAAAGTCAAGAACTAAAATGACAGGAGTCTCAAACTTTAAGGACTGTTAGTGTAATTCACTCATTTTTATTTTTAAAATTACAAAATCAAACCACCTGACTATCACCCTGTTTTATTCTCTATCGCGATCTTCCTTTCTTTATTAAGGAAAAATTACACTAGAGTTTAATTTTTACAAAAGTATTTATAAATTAATGAGAAAATTTATAAATTTAATTATTAGTATATATAAAATTTTTCATTCATTTAATTTTTTTTAAAAAAAGTATCTAACGAGTAAGTTTTTCCTTTTTTTAACTTAAACTTAGTGATGTGACACTGACCTGATAAATCGATTAATTGGCAATAAGACTGATTAATTGTTAAAAAATATTTTAAATCTCTAATTTTAGATTCCTAAATTAATCTCAAGTGATATATCATAAATCATGCGACTTTATGACTTCAATGTTTCATTAAAGTATACTTATCTAATGGATATTTACCGTTTCGTTAAAGTATACTTATCTGATGAATATTTACCATGTCATTGAGAGTTTAAAATTGAAGGTCCAAAATGGGAGGTATCATTACTGTAATCGTTAAATTTGGTCACAAATCGGGGCAGTTATATGTCTTTATCACAGTCCAAAGAAAAGTAAATTTCGATGGATTTGAGGCACACTTCAGATTACGAAAATGTCATGGCATTTTGGGTAATTTTCCACAAATAGAAGGGTATGTTCATCCTTATCGTTCCTTGTCCTTCTATAAATAGATTTTGGAAGTATTTTCAGATTTGTGTTTCGCTCTGATCCGCCGTCCGACTCCTTCTCGGACACAATCTCTTTGGTACTCATCTCTCTCTCTCTCTCTCCCTCTCTTATATATATATATATATCTATATATAAATCATCATATCAATTGTGATTGTTCGTGCAATTCTAATCATAAACTGTTCTTCGTTTGTGTTCAGTTTCAATAATTTGATACAAGTTTGATCGATCGATCGATTTGGTTTTCTCCGATTTCCGGTTCCGATCGATCCAGAACATACTGCTTTTTTCTCTGATCAATCAGGTGTTTTTCTCAGATCTGTATGTGTATATGTGTACGCATGTGTTTATCTATTCAATTTTAGCTCGTATAGATTCTGCATTAAGCTGATTCGCGATTCGAGATGTTTGCAGATTGCATGTACTTGAAGACCTTATTCATTATGCAGATCAAGAAATTTTATTTTTAAATTTTAAATTTTGTTAATCAGTTTTGAAAGGATATGCGTAAGGTTGTTGTTTTCGGAGGTTTTGATTGTTTTATTAAATCTTGTTTTTCGGATCTGAAGATTCTTTATGCGCAATTTTTCTTAGAAGGTCTATTCATTCAATCAAAGCATACACTTTGCGTTTTAATGTAGTGTTTCTGGTATATATTTACTTTGATTTTGATTTTGTGTTGTAAAATTGTGATAGTTTACATTTTGTCGCCTATTCGTCTAAAGACACATTTTTTTTTTTTGGAAGCCTGGTTGATGTTTTTAATTTGAGTGTATCTATGACTTGTTTGTCCAACTGTTTCGGCTCGGTCATAAGGGCTTTTCTGAATTCTTGTCAAGCATATTCGACAAGTCCTATGAGATGAAAACTTATCAATAATAGTTAATTGAAAAATCAACTAGATACAAACCTAATTCGCCTTAATTTGGATATAATGTTTTCTTTTATACTCGAATTGTATCTTCACACATTACAGCTTGAGATTTTTGCCTTTTTTAAATATGGGATAATTGAACCAAAAAAGAATTAGAAAAGAAAAGGAAGCCATCTTTAGATGGCGGAGGAATGGAATTGTCTTGAAGATGTCCTTTCCCCATTAAGTGTCTTGGTGCTTTGTCACGTAGGATGTTGACATTTAATTTTTCTTTCATCAGATCCTTAGCTGTTGAGATGGCGTCAACAGCTGGAACCACAGGATGGTTAAGAGGAAAAGTTAAAGCTGTTCCTTCTGGTGATAGTTTGGTGATAATGGGGAGCACCAAAGCGGAAATTCCCCCTGAGAAGACAATTACTCTGTCATCCCTTATTGCCCCTAGATTGGTTAGTCTATTTAACTAGCATTACATGTTTCATATTTTGTACATTTTCTTTATCAAATTTTTATTTCTTTATTATTCATCCCTCCCCCCCCATTTACATTCTAGGCTCGTAGAGGCGGTATTGACGAGTCATTTGCCTGGGAGAGCAGAGAGTATTTAAGGAAGCTTTGTATAGGAAAGGTGCTCATTTAAATGCCTTTAGCTATGATTGCAATATATCAGTTTTCTAATGAACAAGTTGGAATTATCGCATCTTACCCAATTTATCTTTTTGAATAGGATGTCACTTTCAGAGTGGATTATACTGTGCCTGCCATAGGGCGAGAATTCGGCTCAGTTTTCCTCGGCGATAAGAATGTCTCATTGATGGTTGTTGCTGGAGGCTGGGCAAAGGTTATATCGCTTTTTTCTTTGGTGCATACATTTCCAACGTTGGATTTGTTCTGTATGTATGGGCATTAGCTAAATCTGGTGCTTGCAGGTTAGGGAGCAGGGTCAACAGAAAGGAGAAGCTAGTCCTTTCTTAGCGGAACTGCTACGCCTTGAAGAGCAAGCCAAACAACAAGGGTTAGGACGTTGGAGCAGGGTGAGTCTAAGTCCTTTGCTGCTGTTTATTTGTTTATTTTATTCTTATATTTGTTTTAGGATGCTGGAGTAGGGTTAGTTTACGTTCTGTACTATTACTTTCAAAAAGAGCAGTCCTATCTAAATTTCCTTCTTCTATAATACGAAGGCATGGATCAGTTGTATCTAATATTTAACATTTAAAAGAATTTTGTCTCTTCTTTCGATAGGCTAAAATTGCTTGTCTTAAATGATGCCAGAATGTTGATTGCTACAATTAACTTCATTGATTTAGGCATGCAAGTGATGTCTAGAAAATTTGTCCCTATATTGTGGATTTATATGAGGGGTTTTTTTTTTTTTTTGGGAGGGGGGGGAATGACCTTCACAATCCCTCTTTAACTTCGACTAAAATGGAAAAATTGTAAGTTATATATTTCTTCGAACTTAATCTGTAATAACTTGACTTCTCATCTTCTGCAAAACGCCTTGATGTTCCTCACTTCGGGATTATTCAAGCTAATTGAGATGAAAGTAAAAATGTCACGCTGACGCCTTTTTAATATTTAACTGCTGCTTGCAGGCACCAGGAGCTTCTGAGGCAGCCATAAGGAACTTACCTCCCTCAGCTGTTGGTGATTCCGGTAACTTGGATGCAATGGGCCTCCTCGCTTCAAACAAGGGTAGGCCCATGGAAGCTATTGTGGAGCAAGTTCGTGATGGAAGCACTCTTCGTGTCTACTTACTTCCAGACTTCCAGTTTGTCCAAGTGTTTGTTGCCGGAATCCAGGTATAGAATTCAGAGCTCAGCTGTATTCTCTTTCCAGAAGTCTTTTTATTACGTTTTGCATGTATGCATTGTTACTTGTATTTGCTAGTACCGGTTAGGTCCTATTTTATTGTTTTATTGTTCTTTAATCTTTAACCAGGCACCATCAATGGGAAGAAGGGCTGCATTGGAAACTACTGTTGGAATTGAAGTGAGCTCTGATGAGCCAAATGGGGAAGCTTCTGCTGAGCCTAATGCCCCCTTAACCTCAGCACAGAGACTTGCAGCCTCATCAGCATCCTCCTCTGAAGTTTCTCCAGATCCATTTGGAAGGGAGGCCAAACATTTTACGGAGATTCGTGTACTAAATAGAGATGTGAGTGACTATTTTGTTATCTGTCACCTTGGGCTTTGCATCATCTTAGATGATCTCAAGTTATGATTTATTTTACAGGTCCGTATTGTCCTGGAGGGTGTTGACAAATTCAGCAATTTGATTGGTTCTGTGTATTATCCGGATGGTGAATCAGCAAAGGACCTCGCGCTGGAGCTCATTGAGAATGTATGTCGTAATATTTATGGTGCTGTTATGTTGAAATAAAACACTATAGTAGCATTTTAATTGTTCTTCTAAATGCATGTGTTAATTGATTATTTATTTATTTATTTTTATCTTGATGAAGATTGGAGTATCATTCCTTGTGATGCTTCATTGTATTGTACCATTCTGTTTTGTACCTAGTGCTGGAGCTTGTTGAAAATGTACGTCAAAATATTTATGGAGCTATTATGTTGAAAATAAAACACTCTACAAGCATATTTAATTTCTTAACTTAATTATATGTATGATTTGGTTATTTTGATCTTGATAAAGGTTAGTATCATTGATTGCAATGCTTCAGTTTATTGTATCATTATGTTTTGTTGTGCATTTTAAGTATTGTAAGCGTTTAAAGATTCTGAGGAATCTTTATTGGAAGGTGGGTAACTCAGCTGGAAAGATGTGGAGTGTCTCTATGTTCTGATATGAAGTTTGTCCTTTTAGATTTGGATATAGTTGCAGCGAGACGTGTATTATAAGATTCTTAACTCAACTTGGCAGACTCTTGCATCTTTTAACTTGGTTGGGTCATGTAATCCTTCATTTCAAAGCTTTATCTAGACTATAGAGCTATAAGAAATGGTTGGCAAATGTTTTTTTTATTTTATTTTTAAATTTCCCTAATTTTCTCAACTGACTTCCTTTGAGGCCCACTTCTTGTGTTTCTGGCACTTTTACTGCAGCTTAATCTGATTTTTTTTTCCTCCCCCCCTCAACCAATTGAATTCAGTCTGTCAATACCTGATTGTCACACAGGAAAACAGTTACCTTCTTTTCTGGTCAGGCCTTGGAGAAAGCTCTCTCTACTCATTTCCACTCTACTAATGTCTTGAGAACAGGAAAACAGTTATCATACTCTTCAGTATGATAACACCGGAAGACTTTTTTGTTTCAGAATTTTTTCTTAAGATGCTTGTAAGATTAGCTTCTAGAAGCAGTACGAAGTGCTGAAGATGAGATTTGATATGATTTGTCAAATCCTGCTAACTCGTGTGTCTTGTAGGTTGCAATTCTCATCATTATCCTTTCTCTTTGAATGGCACCGTCTAGAAAATAAGTTGTTACCCGTTCATTCTTTTCTTCTTTTTGAATATTTTTGTTCTTATTCTTGATCTCTTCTATGTTTGTTTCAGCTATTTCCTCCAAACTCGTTATATTTCAAGGACATCTGTATAGGTTGTGTTTTGTGGAATGGAATGGTCTCATACCTTTTATATACCATTTCAATTCTCATCAGCGGACCCATCTAATTGAATGACACTGTTTAGAAAATGAGGAGTTTCTCCCCATTCATTCTTTTTTTTTATTTTTATATATATATATTTCAATATTGTTCTTTTTCTTCATCGCTTCTATGTTTGTTTCAGCTTGTCCCTCCAAACTCTTTATATTTCAAGGACATTTGTTTAGGTTATGTTTTGTGGAAATGGAATGGCCTCATGACATTTATATAACATTTCTAGATGAATTTTTTTTTGTCTCATACAGAGCAAATAGGCAAACTAAAAATATATTCAATTATATGTTAAAACACCCTTATTTGTTCAGTATCCATATCCTCACCTGCACCATACCGTGCTTCTTGCTACATTGCTCCCAAGGTCAAGTACTGGTTCCAAGTATCTCGTAATTCAATTGGAATTTCTGTTCTCACATTATCTAGCCATGTTGTTTAGCTCGTTGAATAACAATTTTTTCCCCTATTTCGGTAAATGTTTCCGAATTTCGCAATATCTAAACAGCTCTGACTGTTCTTGACATTTACTTCTCTTTTTTATGTAGGGCTTAGCTAAATATGTTGAGTGGAGTGCAAGCATGATGGAGGAAGATGCCAAGCGGCAGCTGAAGTCTGCAGAACTTCAAGCAAAAAAGACCCGGTTGAGGATTTGGACAAACTATATTCCTCCTGCTACTAATTCAAAGGCAATTCATGACCAGAATTTCACAGGAAAGGTTTGTTACTTGTTCTGGTCATAGCTGTATTGAAATCTCTATCTTGATATTGGAATTCTCTTTTTGTTATCTATTTCTAATTTGACTTTTCTCCAGGTCGTTGAGGTTGTAAGTGGGGATTGCATCATTGTAGCTGATGATTCTGTCCCGTATGGAAGTCCATTAGCAGAGCGACGAGTCAATCTCTCAAGTATCAGATGTCCCAAAATGGGAAACCCTCGTAGAGATGAAAAACCTGCTCCCTATGCCCGTGAAGCAAAAGATCTTCTTCGACAACGTCTCATTGGTCGTCAGGTATGAGGGCATTTTCTTTTGCATCATTTTTTTTAGGGTTTAGGGTTTCTTTGGATGATTGGATTTCGAATGAAGGGATTTGAATTTGATTTTATAAAATTATGAGAAGATTAGTTATTGAAGATAGCCGATTACTCTAGAGTGGGGACTGAATAGAGGTGTGTTTCATATAATTTGTTAAAATCCTTGTACAAAAAGAATCTTCTATGGAAGGATTTCAAATAACTAAATAATTATTTGAAATCTATCATTATAAAGCTCTCAAATCGATTCTTGATAAAATATGACATTGATTTAAAGGCTATACTCAAATTATTGATGTCAATTCCATTTATTTCATGGAGGTAGTTCTAATTTGATTATATATTATTTCAGGTAAATGTTCAAATGGAATATTCCAGGAAGGTCATCCCGTCAGATGCAGCTGCTGCTGCAGGTGGACCTACAGATTCAAGGGTGATGGATTTTGGATCAGTTTTCCTGCCATCTCCCGGTAAGGGTGAAGGTGATGATGCCTCTACGCCTGCTCCACCTACTGGAACCAACCAGCAGGCAGGTTTAAATGTTGCCGAGCTGTTGGTTTCCCGTGGCTATGGCACTGTAATTAGGCATCGAGATTTTGAGGAAAGATCAAACTATTATGATGCCCTTCTCTCTGCTGAATCCCGTGCCATCGCTGGGAAGAAGGGGATCCATTCTACCAAGGATTCTGCACCAACGCATATAGCAGACCTGACCACGGTTAGAAACTACTCATGTTAGCCCTTTCCTGTTGTGATGTACAGTTAATAAAATTCACTTATTGTATTGAAAATTTCTTTTTTAGGGTTCAGCGAAGAAAACTAAAGATTTCTTGCCATTTCTGCAACGAAAAAGGTTGCCTGCTGTTGTGGAATATGTCCTCAGTGGACATCGGTTTAAACTGTTTGTTCCCAAGGAGACTTGCAGCATTATGTTTTCCTTCTCTGGTGTTAGATGCCCTGCCCGAGAAGAGCCTTTTTCTGATGAAGCAATTGCGCTTATGAGACGAAAGATAATGCAGAGGGATGTTGAGGTACTGCTATTCCTTATTCAAGCCTGCAATCATTTAATTGGTTCCTGTCCATGGTTTGAAGGTTGTTCTTTTGTGCTCAGATTGAAGTGGAAACTGTTGATAGAACTGGAACTTTCTTGGGATCTTTGTGGGAGTCAAAGACTAATATGGCAGTGACACTTTTGGAAGCTGGCCTGGCAAAGCTTCAAATGTCCTTTGGCACTGATAGGATCCCAGATGCTCATCTTCTTATGCAGGCTGAGCAGTCTGCTAAAAGGCAGAAGTTAAAAGTAAGAAGCAGATTAAATTTCTTATTACGGGTTTTAATATATATTTTTTTTGGTTTTTATTTGCCATTTTTCAATTAACATTTTTTCTACTTAAGGGAAAAAAAATTAAATGAAAAAAAGGAAGCAAATAAAGAATGTTAAGTGAAAAAGGAAAATGATGCACAAACTTGAGAAGGATGTGGCAGTGGCAACTTTACAATTATGAACCACAATGATCAGTGTATTTGCTTGAAATGAAAGAACTACAAAGTGCCACATCATTCTTTATGGAATTTTTGTACAAAAATTCTGTTTTTATAGCATTACCCATTGAAAAATGGTAATTAAAGGCATAAAAAATCTTTAATAAAAAATACTGATCTGAAGGCCAGCCAACTGTTCTTTTAATCTTTTAATGATTCTTATAAATATCTTGTTCTTTTGAGTATGATGCTTATATATCTTCTGCAGATATGGGAGAACTTTGTTGAAGGAGAGGAAGTTTCCAATGGTGCTGTTGCTGAAAGAAAACATAAAGAAGAGCTGAAGGTTCTTATAATATGATTATGGTTCAAAATTCCCCGTTCCGTTTGATGTGTTATTGAATTTTAGCCATCTTTAATCTCAAAATTACTTTCAGGTAACTGTTACCGAAGTTTTGGGTGGAGGCAAATTTTATGTCCAAGTTGTTGGAGATCAGAAAGTGTGCTCCATTCAACAGCAGTTAGCTTCTCTGAGCATTCAAGAAGCTCCTGTCATTGGTGCCTTTAATCCTAAAAAGGGTGACATTGTCCTTGCCAAGTTTAGTGCAGATGATTCATGGAATCGGGCAATGGTAAGGGTGACAACCTGATATGTTTATTCACTTCACAATTTGATGTTAATATGATTGTTTCTGCAACTGCCAAACTACTTTTTTTTCTTTGAATGTAATGTACTAGCTTCGCCTTTTATTTTGGATGCACGTCTGAAGGTGAATAATAGGATTTTCTTAGTTTGTTGATTAAAAGAGGAAATCATACTCTGAGAAAATCCTATTATTCATTGGTAGGCACTTCTCATAAACCCCAAAGGGTTTGTTCTTTTCTTTTTCTCCCCTTTCCTTTCAGTATACTGAATAATTTGAATCATCTTATTTTGCATTATTCTAAATGAAATATAAACATATTATTCTTATGTTCTATCTTCATTTATATTCTCATTGGATTTGTGAAGATTGTAAATGCACCTCGGGCAGCTGTTGAATCACCAAAGGACAAGTTTGAAGTGTTCTACATTGATTATGGAAATCAAGAGGTTGTTCCTTACAGTGATTTGCGACCACTTGATCCGTCAGTGTCCTCTGCCCCAGGCAGTGCTCAGTTATGCAGCCTTGCCTACGTAAAGATCCCAAGCTTGGAGGAGGACTATGGGCAAGAAGCGGCTGTGCATCTGAGCGAGCACACACTAAATGGTCCAAAAGAATTCAAGGCCGTAATTGAGGAAAGGGATACTTCTGGAGGAAAAGTGAAAGGGCAGGGAACTGGGACTATCCTCATGGTCACTTTGATCGATACAGAAACTGATTCCAGTATAAATGCGGCACTGCTCAAGGTTCGGATTATAACCATCTCAACTTTGATTTCAGAAGCTTTTTCTTACATTCCCTGTTGAGTTACCTAACATGTCAATTTTTTTGTGTTGCATAACTGTATCGGTATAATTAATTCTCTTGTGCAGCGAAAGTGTATAAGAACTCTTTTTGTGTTTGAGTAAGTGATCCTCTGGAGAGTTCTGATGTTGTCTGAAGAAAAATCTGCATTTTTATCATGTTTCTTCTGACTTCATGCCTGCTAAATTTCGCTAATATTTTCTGCTTGTGCTATTCTTTAACCAACCAGAAATTGAAAATTGGAGTTGTGTTTTGGCTCTCCTTGAAGTTTGGGTTGTTCCCCCCCGTCTCTCTCTATATATTATATAAATATTTCCCTGTAGATTACATCCTGGTTCTATGATGTGGACTTGATGTTGAAGTGGTTGCCCTTGTTTTAAGGCACTTGAAGATCTCGATCTCGATCTCGATCTCTCTCTGTGTTTTTTTTTTTTCTTCCTGTTTTTCTCATATAATTTTTCCCCATTCAACCGGTTTAGTTGTGATATGCAGATGGCAGCACTTCTATCTTTTCCCTAATCATGTTTTTTTATCAGGTTATAAGTTGCCTAAACCGAAAATTGTGAATTGTGCAGGACGGGCTTGCTAGACTGGAGAAAAGGAAAAGGTGGGAGCCAAAGGAAAAACAAGCTGCCCTGGATGAGTTGGAAAAATTCCAGGAAGAAGCAAAGAGTAAGAGGCTAGGGATGTGGGAATATGGAGACATTCAGTCAGATGATGAAGACACTGGTCCACCTGTTAGAAAGGCTGCCGGGAAGCGATAAACACACTTACTTTGCTGACCTTGGGTAAGGTAGATTTGCCAAAACCAAACCTGCAGCCTAAGAAGAGTTAAGCTATAGTCAGTCGTTCTAGAGGAACAGAGACAGAAAACAATGCGACTTAAAAGTTGCTTTAAATTAGTTTTGTTTTGCTTTGAACTTTTTCTTCCTTCTTTTTTTCTTCTGTTTTTTTATTTGTTAAATTGAGAAAATTTTCATCAGGAGTTTGAGGCTGACAATTTTTTTAAATTTGTTTTTGTTTATTTATACAACTCTCAATAAGGCAAATTCCATAAAGCCAGTCCAGTCTCTTTGTGGGGATGTACAATTTTTTTCCTCAGTTTATCAAGCGTGCAAGGTCTTTTTGTTCATTTAATTAGTGGTCTATGTTAACCTGCTTCCTAGCATGTTCAACAAATGCCTGGTACTTGTAGTTGTTTCTATTCTCTGTTTAGATATAAGTTTGTGTGTGTGTGTGTGTGTGTGTCGCGCGCGCACAAATCATGTAGCAGTAAAGTTCGAACCTGGATAACACACCTGGTAAGGGAATACATCATACATGAGGTTAAGCCTTGCTCTTTGCATATGCAAAGAACCTTTGAATGCCTTTAATTTTGAGTTCTGCCCAAAATGTATGGCACCTATGATCTTACTTTTGGCATCACTGTTAGTTGCTCTGCCTGAATATTAGTTGCAAAACCCTCCGGCCTGGATTCCCCTTCCCTATAAGTGTTGTGTTGATACCTGATATATTGCTTCGCTCCATATCCACCGGAGATGGGGGCAGCTGAGGCAAACATTCACGGACTGACGTCTCATACCATATTGGAGTCGTTCAGGCTCTGAATGAACACACAGCTTTGAAACAAATTGTATAGGTCTCAATATTTCATCCATCATTTTTATTTGGACAAATTATACTAATGGTCTCCATATTTTAGTTTTCAGTTGTGACACAATTGTCCTTTAATTTATTACACTGTCAAATACAATTGATAACGTCTGTCATCATTTTGGGCCGAAAATCACCTCATGCAACTCACATGGGACATTTTGGATATTTTACACCCCTCCTCCTACACCCCCTCTATCTCTAACAGATTCCATTATCACACCCACCTCAGGAAAATCCACTAAACCTATATGTACATCTATATTTGCAAAGATAAAAAAAAATTGATGAGCGAAGAGATGTGATGTTATTACATTAATTAATATATCATTTTGTCAAATGAAAAGATTCTTTGCTTTTTGCTTTGTTTGATCTTGGATTTGATTTTAGGGCTGGCAGTTTGGGAGGAATGAAGAGGAGGGGCAGGTGGTGGTCCGGCAGTCCACAAACAGAGAATAGTTTGAGTGGTTCTACACCTTCACTCATTCTCCTATTTTCTCTCACTTCATTTTCTGCTCCCTCTCTCCAGCCCCTCCCCAGGCCACCCTATACAAACACCATATCCTCCTACCTCCATACCACCAGCCGCCCTCCTCCATCCGCCACCATCATACCCTTTTCTCTGCACGGCTTTATAAAAATGACGACAAAAATGAAGATATATATCCAATTTTCACAATTAAGTAAATAATTTCACAATGTGTGCGAGATCAAATATAAAGATCAACCATTGGGGGTAAAAAATCAGATCTTTGGCTGATTGACAGCTTCAACATAAATCAGCCCATTGGAAAAAAAAAAAAAAAATCTGATCTATGACTTCCTTGCTTTGGTTCGGCTCTCTTTAATCTTTGCCAATGATTGTTAGATTTGGGATTTATAGTATGGTAGGGGTGGCGTAAGGTGTTGTTTGGTGGTGGCGGGGCTAAAATGGAGAACAGGTGGTGGTGGTAGTGGTGGTGGTGGGGTGAATTTCTTGCTGGACATGCAAACAAACCCTTGAGAACTTACAGGCACTGAGTATCCTTCTCAGGAGCCCTCTTCTCAGGAGCTCTCTGATGATAAAGTTAGATATTCTTGTGAGTAATAATGGTCATTTTTCCCCGCTCCACCGTACACGGATTTTCCTCAACCCAAAGAGAAAGTGGGGCGGGGATGGGCTTTGCTTCCCCTGCCCCGTTCTAATCCACCTTCGTCTCGTTTTTATTTACTAAATATACTTGTATGTATATAATACATGCATCATTTAATTTTTTTTAATATGGTAAAATTAAAAACTTAAAATATTACACTTAGTATTCATTTTTAATCATTTATTACGTGTCTTACATCTTTTTACTTTCATTAATTATAAATCACTATCTATAATATACTATATCGTATATGATTTTTTATTGATAGTTATATTTTTTAAGTTGTAAAATTAACTCGTCTAGAGTCCTAAATCCGACTCGTGACTATCCCTACTTGTGTGGAAAACAATTAGAGAATGTATATGTATATATAGCTGATCCGCTCCGATTAGGCATGTAGAATAATATCCAATGTGTTTCTGGAGTAGTTATTCTCTTGAGATCTGGGCTTAAGCTCACTTTAGACCTCGAGACTAAGCCGAATATCTGTAATTATCATATGTTACAATTAAAACTACAAAGAGCCGAATATCTGTAATCATCATATGTTACAATTAAAACTACAAAGACTAAATAAACACAAGAAGTAAAATTTATGAACCACTAATATAATTTGTCTTTGTTATTTGGTTTTGTAGTTTGAATAGGTGTCATATAAAGAAGTGCTCCTTGATCAGTGTAAGGTTGCTTGAGGGTTATTCCAATTACAATATGGTTTACCTAGTGACGCATTTTTTAATTGAGTAATGATATACTTACCATTTTATTATACCATTTTTAATATATCAGCTTATATATAGGCACATCATTTAATACAAACATGAGTGCTGGGATCTACTACACTAATGATGGTACATTGAAGGTTTAATAGAAACGTGTGGTGAGATCTATTACACTAATGATGGGTTGACATATGAGTTGGTATATTAAAGGTGGTAAAATGAGGTAAAAGTATAACATTGGCTTTGTCTGGGAAAAAATCTTAAATATGACCATAACATTTGTAAATAAAACTTTTAGATAATTAACTTTTAATTGTTGAAATAAAAACAAAAAAAAACTCAACCGAAGCTTCTATTGTAACTACGTAATTAAAATATAAGTAATTTAATTTTACTCAGTACATATTTATATAAAAAATACATTTATTTGACATTGCTATCCAAGCCACTTCCCTCCCTTAGATGACCCAAGCCACTTCCCTCACGGCGTTTGGGAGGAACAAGGATTCTCTCTTTGAATCCTCTACTTAACTTTCTACTTGATGGGTCATTAAGTCAACTTTTAGATCTAATTTTGATGATTCGAACCGTTCATATTTTAAAATTTGTCATGTATATCATATCTATAAAAAATCAAGTCAACCGGATATCAAAAACCACGTAAACTAAAAAGTTTTATTAAATAAAACTATTTATTAAATTTTTTTTAATAAACGATTTTTAATTCTTCTAATATTCCATCAATCCCCACAAATTTCTCTCACAAAATATCTCATCAACAATTTCTTACTGATTATTTTTCTGTGACAGTGAGTAGTTTGCAATGGTGAGGTTCATGACGATGTCAGTGGTTGATGTGGCATGAAGATGTGAATTAAGAAAATAAATTTAAAATTTTTGTCTAAAAGATAATTTTGTAAAATTGTAATTAAAAAATGCACTAAGAGTTTTTTTGGAGTGAAAATAGGGAGCTGTGTGAAAATATATATGTATAGAATCCACCTATCCATATATGGCACATTGGAAACTGTCCTTTGCTTCATGCTATGAGAATAGCAACATCATAGAGAGAAAGTTCTTTCTAATGCATTTATTTGTTTCCAACATACCAACAAAGATAAATAGCTCTATTACGGATCAAACCAACAAAACATCTTTAAATCATTGACTTGCAAAATGGGTTCAATGGACATAATCACACCAACGTAATGTCTTTTTATGAATTAAATGGTAGAAAATCTATTTCTATAAGATTATATATTATTTAATTCAAAATTTAATGATTTTTTTTTTTTACGATAAAGACATGCACTAAAAAATCACACGCGTTGAAAAATTAGCTTGAAAACTCACCAACAATCGGTAGTGGCCGACAATGACAACCAGTAGCAATGAGATACAAGTGAATAAAACAAATAGTTAAACTTTAAATAAATAAATAAATGACATGCACTATTAGATAACACTTAAACAAATCTAAATTTTGAACACACCCGTACCCTTTTAAACAAATAATGACATGATCTAAAAAAATTTAAATTTTGACCTGCTAACCCAACAATTTTAAAAATAGACCTATAATCCGGGTGACCCTCTTTTATCATAGATTTGAGTAGGTTATGTTTTTTCATAATGAATTCGGGTTGAGATTTTTTCTCCATTTTTCCTTTCAAATCCCTGCTAAAATCTATAATCCAATCACGAAACACACAACAGCTAGTCTACTTCCAACACGTCATTTATTTGCTTGAACCTGCAAATCATGTTGTGTTAATTAGCACAACATATTCAACAAAAGCATAAAGTTAAAAAATCTTCAATTCCTCAATGCTGCATGTCTTTCATTTAGTGCAGTAAAAAAGCAGTGATGGACCAAAATCCGATTAAATCATCGCATTTACATTCTCATACATCAATTATCAGAAAACAAACCTGAATAAGAAAATTTAAAAACAAAAATAACCAGTAAAATTCAGTGAAAAATTCATCATGGTAGACAAACTATAGCTCAAATTCTCTACCAAAGTGAAGAAGAAATAAGAAACTAATAATGACACTAGCACTCTCTCTCCGTCTGTCTCTGTCTCTCTAATTCTCACGCCTGGTATTCCTTCGGCGAGGAGGAGCATTAGCATCTTCCTTGTCATTCTGCTTCTCCTCCATTTCCTGCTTCTCCTCCTCCTCCTCCTCCTCCTCCTTTTCTTCGCTGCTTCCTTCCTTGTTGGAAGTCTCAGCTGCTCCCGTGCTACTCGTACTGGTCCCTGCAGCACTCACTTTTGCCTGGAAACAGCCAAAAAGCCATCAACATTATCATGTGATACGATACAGCATTTTCATCCCTCTAACTACCAAAGAAGCAAGAAAACTAAGTCTCAGTTTTGGATGGATGTGGATTTCAACCCAAGGGCTTTGAAAGTGAATAAAAATATTGGAGAGTCAACTATTACAGCTGGATACAAAAACAATAGAAGATGAATTGAGATAGAAAAGCTATTTTATAGGGAGGGTTTCAAATGATTTCAATTAAAAACTTACATATGTATATATATATAGTTATTTCAAATCTGCCTTGATAAAAGATATATAATTTCATCTTGAAATTTAAACTATCAAATTTAAATTTGAATTATTCTCTCCTTGAATGAATAATTTTAAATCCATAAATACAAACAAAAACTCACCAGTTTAAATCCATAAATACAAACAAAAACTCACCGGTTTCTTCCCCCCAAAAAGGATCTTGAATAAAACTGTTACAATGACGATGACTATAGAGACAATGACTCCAATTGTGATGTTTGGTTGTTGCTCTGCCTTTTCAATGACATCCTGCAATAAAAAAACTCAAATTTAAAATAATGCACATAAAATTGCACAATAATGGCAGACAACAGTCTTGACGATGACTCACCAGAATTTTAACCTTGTGTCCGCTCAAGAAAGGAATGTCTGCAATCTTGTAGAGGACATCAAACACCGTCTTCTGCAATCGTTAACACCAAATAGTTAGGTTAACAGAAACAATTATTATCAAACAAAGAACCAGGAATAAAAACAGCCAAACAAATTACCTGGAAGCCTTTGAGACCTTCTGAAAGTCCAGCAGATGCTTCCTCGGACTTTTGTTTCTCTTTCTCAACTTCAAATTTTGGTTTCCAAGCAGTCAACCTGATTGATTCCGCAACCTTCTCATCACCAGCTATCAAAATGTTGTCAAACAAAATTCCATCTTGCATTGTCCAAATCTCAATGCCAATCGCAGCAATAGGCTCAAAATCAGGTTTGTCAAGTTCAAAGTAGTCGGGGTTTGGAATTTCCTGTGGCTTCCAGATACCTTTATAATTGGGGTTATCAATAAGTGGGGCATGCCATTTTCCCTTGTAAGCCGGATTTCTTTTCATTGGCCTCTTCCACTCACCACAACCAGGAGCAGTCTCACAATTAGGGTTGTCAATCTTTGGTGCCTCCCATTCACCATCCTCCTCATCATCCCAATCTTCTGGTTTTGTTGCCTCAGGATCATCAATATCTTCAGGTTCATTGTCTAACCATCCTTCAGGTTTTACAGCTTCCTCATCTTCAATTTCCATCGGTGCATCCTCATCCCAGTCATCTGGTTTTACAGCATCTGGATCAGGAATTTTTGCCCTCTCATCCCAGTCCTCAGGCTTCTTATCATCAGGGTCAGGAATGGTCTTAGCAGGAATTAGTGCTGGCTCAAAATCTTCAGCAGAGAAGAAATTAGCCTTCTTCTTCTCTTCACCATCAATAAGGATCCGCAAATCATTATCAGGAGTCAGAATGGCAGTATAAACATGGGTTAGCTTGTCAGATGGCACAGATGGTGGGTACTTCAAATGATGTTCAATGTACTCTCCGCTCTTGGGGTTCTTATGCTTTAGAATAAAGTGAACCTTGTTTGTAGCCCCACATTTGTCGGGCCCAAACATGATAGAGTATGGGGCCTCATTGTCAAACTCCTTTGCTACCCACCCAGCTTCTTGAGGGCGGAGATATTTCAAGTATGCACCACCACACTCAAGTCCATTTTGGAGACGGGTTTCAAACTGCAGAACAATAGTCCCATCCTTAAGCTTCACAGGCTCATCAAGCACTTTCACAATTGCGTACTTCCTTGCCTTCTCACTCACAAGAAGCCCATGATCATCGTGTCCCTCACTCTTTGCATGTTTCCATACACCTAGGTATCAGAGAACAATTGATGTAAATTTTCATAACAAAATATAATAATCAACAATAATAAATGTAGATGCTGCAATTTGTTTCAATAACAAATAATCAATCAATCCTCAATTGACAATCCAACTGCAACACTAAGCTTACAGACCCCTAAAGGTCTACATTTCTAAGATGCATCAAAATCTCAACAAAAGTAAAGCAACCAAAAAATAAATATAAATAAAATAAGCTAGTGTTCAAAATTTGATATCCATATTAAAGTGTTGGCAGAGTTTTAGGTCAAGAAATAGCCAAAGATAAAGGGAATTTTTTTTTTTTTGGGGTGCACATTTGATAATATAATGATTATCAAATTGAAAACCTTCTTCGGAAAGGAATCTAATTTCCAAGAGATCCAATTTGAACACTAACGATTTGTGAGAGGACAGATGGTATGTCCTAAAGATTGTCCACAATATCTTGGGTAATCTAAGAATACTAGTTCTGTACACCCAATATCCATAGAAGAAACTAGTGTAATTCTGCCAAAACCTCAAAAGAGTCCATAAATTGGAAAATGATACTCTTTTATTACTTCTCCATGCTGAAAGAATAGCAAAGAAAAAACAAACGTGTGGCTAAAGCTATGCAATCATGAGTGTAAGCGGCACCACCCAAACAATAACTAAAAGCCATTCAATTATGGCTCTACCCACTGGATAACCAACAGACAGTGCATTTTTCCATGCTAAGGAGCACAGACACACCTGAACGTGTATGATAATGACCGTTGTCAAATTGTATCATTTTTACATTTAAAAACCAGACACACTTCAGACACTTGAGAAACACACATCAATCGTTTAGTCACACATGAAACACACTATCAATTTAAAGAAAATAATTTGAGATCCAATGAACACAACAATACAATACAATAAATAAATAAATAATCTATACATATTAACCCCTCCTCACATCTCATCTTTTGAGAAATGTGTCAACACTAGTTCCTAACTCACAATTATTAAGCTTCATGTTAACATGGATACAAACAAGCTACATAAAGGTTTAATCTCAGAGTTACAAATGTAGCTGAAATAGTCTTCAAATTGCACTGGCGTGATACGTTTTCCAAGTTTGCAAAAGTTGCTAGATTATTTCCTAATATGAAAGTGTTCAAAGGTGGAGTGATTATTATGTGTAAACTCACATCAATCCAATGAACAACCAAACATATCTCCTCATGCAAACAACATCAAACACAGATACAAAGAAAACAACTTCTAAATATAATCAACGATCATCAACAACAAATCAAAACTCAACAATAGCAAAAAAACAGCCCTGATTATAAAATAATAATAATAAAAAAACCTTTATAATCCTCTTTCTCAGAGACGATCCAGCTCCCCTCAAACGAATCATCAAACGAATCGTAAAAGATCTACAAAAAAACACCAAATTTCAGCAAAAGAGATCAGTACATACCTATACACACACACACATATATATATATATATATACAAAAACGAGTATAAAAATGAGAGATCTCTCACCGGATCAGAAGAAGCACAGAGCTGAGCAGTGAAGCAACCGATCAAAATCAACAAACTAAATTGCAGATACAACCTCCGATTACTTTCTTCCATCATCAAAATCAACTGATTCTGATAAAAAAAGAAAAAGAAAAAGTGCAAGATCTGAGATCTACAGCACTGTGAATCGTCGAACCCTAACCCTAACCCTAACCCTAACCACCGCTATAGAGTGATCGATCTGAGAGAAGAAATAGAAAATGAATCTGGAGATTAGGATATTTATAGATGTGGGGACAACTTAGCGTCGAGTTGTTTCGACCAATGAGATTGGTTGCCACGTGACATGGCAAATAGGAGTTCGCCACGTGAGCGTTGTGAATGACTTTCCTTGCATCATTCGGTAGAAATATGACAGACGACCATGACTCGGCTGTTACAAAGGGTCTTTAATTATTGTTTTCATACAAAATTAGCAATGTTATATTTATGTAATTTTATTTTTATTTTTATTTTTTTTTTGGAGATTTCTACCAATTTTTTATCGTATTATATAGGCTAAATTATTCCAAGATTTTAAGATTTGAAAAATATAAATAAAATTTATAATTTTATTATGATTATAATTTCACAATGAAAAGAAATGGGGTGAAACTCATTTTTTTAATCTCTATTTGAATCTTTTAAAAAGTTGAGAGATTATGAAAGAAAAGAAACCACCATTTTAGATGTAAAATTAATAAAATTACCAACATTTGTAAAAAGTTAATTTTTTTAATATAATATGATATTATTTCATTTTATTTAATTTTTTTTATGTAGTCATCATCTTTTCATTTTTTTCTTTCTTTCTCATAATTACAATTTTTTTTTTATCTTTTCTTTTTTCTCCTCTTTCATAATCATTTTTTTCCCCTTCTTTTCTTTTCTACATTATCAAACATAGTGGTAAATAAGTATATTTTTTAATTTTTTACGAAAAGATGTGCAGAAAAATAGAAATGTATACACTTATTTAGTTTATGCCAAATAGTGTCTAACCTAAAAGTCAAAAAGTTATTAAAAAAAATCAAAAAATCAACAAATTATATAAAAAAAAAGTTAAGGCTTTGTTTGGCATGTGCTAAAATAGCACATTATCTTATTTAGGTCACAATCATTTTATTTAAGTCATATCACCTCTCTATCACATCACTTCAAACTCAACCGATATTTTATGTTTTTTTGTAAAAAGTCAAAAAATATACTAATCTAGCACTTCCTAAACAACCCCTAAAGATTCATTTTTATTTTTTTTTACTTTTTGTATTTTTTTTTTGTAAAAAACTAAAAAGTCATCCTAAACATCTATTTTTTTACCTTATATTTTAGTTAAAATGTTAAAAAATTATTAAATTAGCCTATTTCTAAACGAGGTCAGTGATACGGATAAAAAAAATGATATATTTTCTTATCTATTTGTGTATTTTCATACAATTTGTACTAAATTCAATATCTTTAAGCTTCCTAAAAAAGATATTAATATAATTGTATCAAGATTATAGAGGTTTTTTCATTAACCTCGACGAGATAATTGATTTACCCTATTATAAGATAAATATAATATTTTTATGTTTATATAGCAAGAGTGAAAAGTTATATACATGCCCCAAATAGTAACCATAAAATTACAAAAACGACCTTGTTGGTTCTCAATTTGGATTCCATAGCCACCACTTTCCATTGTTGAGAGCAGTTTCAAATCTTTCCATATCGAGTAGATATAACATATTGGATGTCAACTTGACATAATCTAAACTCTTAAATAGAACAATGCCACTGCATAACAATATATTATCAAACTATAATGAGAAATTTAATATTTTGATAAGAAAATTGGGTGGTAGTTCGAAAATTTAAGGGTTGAATGGCCCAAAATTTGAAAAGGGAGAGAAGAGAGGGAGAGCAGAGAAGAGAGGGAGAGAGGAGGACGTCGTCGCCTCTGCCGACGCCGTCGCCTCGTCGCTCGTCGCTTCTGCCGACGCCGTCGCCTCGCCGTCTGTGCCTCCGCCGCGAGGAGCTCGTCCAGTCCTTCAGCCTCGCCGCAGCCCCGCCTCCTTCTCCAGCCGATTTTTATGGCCCCCTCCCCTCCCTCCTTCCTCCTCCTCCCGATCTTCTTCTCCACCCTTCTTCTTCTTCTCCCCCCTCCCTTCTTCTTCTTCTCATTTCTTCCCCTCCTCCTCTGATTTTCTACTTCTGATAGGAAGACGAAGACAAAAAAAGAAAAAAAAAAAGAAAAAAAAGGGGCAAAACGACGTCATTTTTCTTTTTCAACCCATTCGACCCACGGATTTTCGAGCTACCAACCGGGGTTGTTTTGATAACACCTACAATATGATTAATTAATAAGAGCGTTTTCAACGTTAATATGCATTTTATTTATCCAAATATTACTATAAATTATATATTTTATTTTATCTATCAACTTTTTTATATTTTTATTTCAATCATACTCTTTATTTTAATATTACTATAAATTATATATTTTATTTTATCTATCAACTTTTTTATATTTTTATTTCAATCATACTCTTTATTTTAGCTATTTATTCAAATACTATTAATTTTATAAAATGTCACATCGGAAATAAATATGGAAGGAAATAATCTTAAGGATTAAATATATTTTATCTAACCTTTGAAGGCTACCTACATATAGCTGGTGAATGTAAGTTGAGCTAAAATGCTTAATTATATATCTAATTCATTGGAGTTAAAAAAAAAGATTTATAATAGATATTTTGACAAACAGATATTATATACTTAGTGGGTTGAAGATATTCTAAGTCACGGTATTCATCTAATTCTATTGCTGTAACTCAATATTTATTCCTTATCTACCGTCCACCATCCACCATGTTTGCACGTCCAAGCTTGGAGGTTTCACCAAACATTGACTTCGCATATAACTATATATATTTATTTATAATTGGGAGTCTAACCAGCTTACAAGTTACAAATACCTCAACTAATCACGAAATCAAGCAGCGTAGTCATGAATTTTATTCGGTAGGATCAGTCGTCAATGTCATGTTATATTTTTAATTCTATACTATCTATTAACAGTTAACATTTACATACAAGTTAAAAAAAAATATTGGAACTTCAACAAAAATAAGCAAAACCAAATATTCATAGTATTAATTTTCAGTTTTCAAGTCCCCACATTATAGCGTCATTTTTTTGATATATGTAATCAAACAAAATTTGAAAAGGCAATATAAAATTTAATTTTATATTTAATTTTTTTCTTTAATTAACCATATAAAAAAAATCTAATAAAGTAAACCAAATACCTCTAGGATTTCTCCCCAAATTTCATTATAAGAAATCATTATAATATTTATCTGGTCCGCAATCTTAATTGTTCGCAAACAAATAAATCAATCAAATCACCCAAGGCACCTAAACATCCATTTGTGGTTTAAGTCCCCATCATATTGTAATATGCATGACATATTCACAGGTCGAAGTTCACTAAGTTAACCGTCAGAATTTGCATATGTCGAACTCGTTGTGTAGTTGTTTGTTTTTAAGGAATACTAACCCATATAAGTTCCTCGAAAATAATTGATAATCCTAAAGAATTCAAACCCAAGAAAGATCCAGGTTGTGTTGCTTAGTGTAAATCCTTTGAAGTGCCATATAATATCTTTTTTTGTGAGGTCATGTCTTTAACAATTCTTTAAAGTGCCATACCCGATCGGTAGTTCCATTGTTATGATTTCTGCTGTTTTGAATTATCAAGTCACCCAATTGTCCAAAAGCTTAAATGAACCCAACAATACGTATCATGCTACAAAGATCAAATTAAAGAATATTACGTAAATTAAATAATAGACCTATATAACGGATTATGAGAAAATACATATACTTCAATCAAACTCAAGTCCAAGAGGCTTAGGCCCAATAAAATGCTTGCCTCCTAACTAAAGTATATGATGCCACAAATAAGTAAGTACACTAAAGATATTATATGGAAGCAAAACAATGACTCAACAATATCAGGCTCCAGCTTTGCTCCATTCAAGTCAGAGACAACCTTACTAACAGACTCTTTTGTCCCATTCTAAATAAAAAAAATAAAAGAATAGTCAATAAAATTAAAAAGAATAAAATACATGTACTGTTTACAATTTCCAAAAGCACGGTAAGTAAAACAGTGTAAAAACAAAGTTCGTAAAGTGTATGGCACAAAAACATTGAAATATATGCACGAGTAACAATACAATACTCAAAAGTTGTAGAGCGTAGTGAATACAATATAATTTGTGGATTAACACTTTCAAAATCTTGGAACGAAGTTGAAACCAAATCAAATAGATGGGAAGTTCCAAATGGAAACAACAGCATACATCACTATTATTGTACTATTTCAATTTGAAGGACCAAGGAAAAGTATGTTGACGTAGTTATTACATAAGAGTCATACTAATAAAGAAATAATCAGCTTATTTTCTTGTTCTCTTTTAGTCCTTAGTTCTACCTATTTTTCCTATACTATATTCTCCAAACCTTATCTTCCAATAAATACTCCAAGATACTTAAACCACATTTTTTTTTTTTGTGATAGCTCATGACTAGGAACCTTCAAACCTATTAAAAATAGACTGAAGAAAGAAAATCAGTGTGGTTATTGTTTTTACAAATTCTTTTGAAACTCCTCAATTTCATCATCTCAAATGAAGCGCAACAGAGAAACTGAAAAAAAAGAAACCAACTGCCCCAGACACAATGTCGAGTAAATCTACCTTCTCAACATTAAAACAAGCCCCCCAGGTTTCTAAAAGAAATTTAAGAACAGGAAGAAGAAATTCTCCTTCTGAAGTCTCCTTCTGAGTTGAAAGGAATGGACACCCATCATCGACTAAAAAGGATAGACGGCCAAATGAAGACTCTAAGCATTCCCCGTAAGTTCAATACATAAGCAAGTAAGCAGGAGTTCTTAAATTAATGAGATATTATGGTGCCTACACATTTCACTAGCCAAAAAAGAAAAGAAAGGAAATGAAACAAAATTACTTAATTGGCAAACCCATTGACCACATTTATTATTTCTTGGTGAAATAGCAGATGTTTGGGCCGTTACACCTGAAGGTTCACATTATCCTATTGGGACCATTCAAGTTAAGTTTCTCAAATGAGTCCTTTTATAAGCTTTCTTTGGTGTGTAAAAATGACAGGGCTCCTAATCTTTGGAAGAGTACAATTCAT